AGCTCTCCCAGGCCAGCATCTTGGCGGACTTCTACCCTCTACTCCAAGTAGAATAAATCCTGTATGTGCAGGCTGAAGTCCTCAACCACCTCCAGCAGGAAGACTGCTCTGTCTGGCAACCATACACAAATGTACACATGGCCACCCATGCTCACTCATGTACATGCACCCATGAACATATCAACAAGCATACAYGCACAAGCATGCATAGGCACACAAGCCTACTTACGTGTGTACACTCACAGAATGCATATCCTGTGTGCCTAAGCCCTGCACTTGTACATGCACACAATTATACACACACATTCACGCATACTCATGAACACACCCATGCAATTTCCAACACCTAGCATACATGCACATGCCTACATAGGCCTATGAGCACACACATGCATATGACTGATCTGTGTGCACATGTACACACACATGTACACATGGACACTCAAAGTATACACACTCAAAACCACATACACACACTCATACACATCTTGCATGTGTGAAAACACTGACACACGCAAACCCACGTGCTGCACACACATGAGCACATGCTAACACGTGCACATAGCACAGCCATCTGCACAATTCTCTGCACACATCACATTCATACCACATCTACACTTATCTGCATGAATTCTTATTCCTGAGCACATGCATGCTGCTCATGCACATTTGGGTGTGCTGGGGTTGCCTGCACAAGTTGACCATGCTGCAGCTAGCATTACTGTCATCTGAGAACACATCTGTCCTCACTTATTTATTTGTGCTGGGTCCTGGTACGTGCCAAGTGTGGGTTCCACTGACCTGCAAGCCAGCCGTGAGATATGTCTGAGTAGGATGGAGCACAAAGCAGCACCTCTAACCACTGCCTTGGTCTTCCCAGCTCTCCCTTTTTGCTCATGCCACTTCCCCAGTCTAAAAACGGTTCCCCAGATCTGACATGGCACCCATCAGGGGCCCATGAATGCTACTCAGTGATCACAGAGTTTTAAAACACAGTAGAACCAATGGGAGAAGGGCCAGTGGGTGTATCCTGGGAAGTGGGGAGATGTCAGGTGCATCCTGGGTGAAGAAGGACCATCAGATGTACCCATGGCAATGGGGGAACACTGGATGTGTCCTGGGTGGCAGGGACACCCTCAGGAGCCTCTGGTTGAGGCCCACACACAGGTGCGTGCTGTAACTGAGCAGAGAGGTCAAGGTATTTCTGACTGTGAAGTGGACCCTGGCATTTGAAAGTCAATGGTTTGGTCTGGAGCATCCTCTCCCTAACCCCACTGCCTCAGAACATCTCAGTGCTATTTCCAGGTTAAAGGAAAACATTTGTAACTAAGCCAATGAGCCAACACGTGCTGGCCCGTCCTGTGTGCTCAGCAGGCAACACATGTGCTCACATGCACTCCCCGAGGCGTGCAGGACTGTAGGGCAGGAAGCTGGGGGAGGGCACATGCCTGCTTCTGGGCAGTGGGTGCCCCGTGAAGCCAGAAGGCTAGGAAGGAAAGAAGACGAGCAGAGACTGTGGGGCAGTCCATTCAAGCTGTAGGGGAGAAAGGGGTCTATTCACTGAAGGCCRTGGTCCTTAATCCTGCAGGAGGGCAACATGGGCAGGTGGCCAGGCACAGCAGGATCCTGGCTGCAGGGCAAAGCACATACCACCAGATGGGAGTGAGGGGGCTGCAGACTCTGGTGTTGCTGAGAGGACTACCATGACCCTGGAAGACAGGTGAGCTGCACTTGCTGGGGAGCCTCAGGTCTGACGACGAGGGCACAGCTCACAGCCACAGCTAGCGTGGGGCTCCAGACCCTCCACTCGGCTCCTGCACTGCCTTCCAACAGTCTGCACATGCAGAACACAGGCACAACAAATGGTCATCTCAGTCTTCCTGGGTGGGAAGTTTGGGTGGGCTCAGCTCAGTGTCTCAAAGGTGTCAGCCAAGGTATCAGCCTGGCTTTATCCAGGGGCCGGGGTTAGCTCCAGTCCCTGAAGGGTGCTGGCAGATGGGTGCCCTCTCCTCGCTGGTCCTGAAGCTGGTGCCTCAGTTCAAGGCTGTCTGCCTCTTCCAAGCCGGCAGAGACTCAGTCACCTCCTGACTGTGAACCTGGCTTGCTTCCTGCCATCTCGGCCTCCAGCCAGAACTCTGCTTCTGAGGGCTCACATTACTAGACTGGGCCCACCGGGTGATCTGAGCTACTATCCCTCTTTTAAGGACACTCTTCTTAATCACCTCTACAAAGTCCCTCTGGCAACTCAGGAAAAGAATCCAGATCAGGAATAAGGACACAGACACCTTTGGGGGCTACCCTTTGTGATGGTCAAACATGACTGCCAATGTCATTGCTTTTCGAAACATCTGGGTGTGCCCGTGAGTGTTCCAGAGATGACTGGAGCGTGGGCGGTGAACGGAGCCAGCACCATCCTGTGGGCTGGAGGCCTGCGTGGAGGGCAGGAGGAAGGGCGTGCCAGCTCCACTCTCCTCCAGCAGGTGAGTCTCGGGGCTGCTGCCATCATGGACCTCAGACTCAGCGGCTTCAGCACCTGGACCTGGGCTCACTCCAGAGACTCTCCAGGGAGCTCCCAGGCCCTCCGCCTCGGCTGCGTCACCACTGTCCCTCCTGTTTGGAGGCTCCAGCTTCTTTGGCGGAGCAGCTGCTGGTTTCCCAGCTCTGCAGCCTGCAGACAGCCTCGTGGGGCTCTCCAGCCTCCGACCCTGAGCCAATCTAACCACTCCATCTACATTCTCCTGGTTCTGCTGCTGAGAGAACCCTGACGTACCTCCTACCATCCTACCTGCTCACACCCCACACGCACTGGCTGGGGCACGGCTGTCTGCAAACAGCCCACCCCAGCATCCCTGTGAACAAGGCAGCTCTCAAGTCTTGTCCTCTTTCCCTTTTTTTTTTTTTTTTTTTGTGCTGGGGATTGGACCCAGGGCCTTGTGCATATGAGGCAAGCACTCTACCAATTGAGCTTGTCCCCAGCTCCAAATCTTGTCCTCTTGTTGCGAAAGTCTCCCTCTTAAAACCTACTGCTGGTGCTGGGGTTGTGGCTCAGTGGCAGAGCAAGAGCACTTGCCTAGCCTGTGTGACGCACTGGGTTCAATTTCAGCACCACATACAAATAAATAAATAAAATAAAGGTATACTGTCCATCTACAAAATAAAAAAAAAATTAAATAAAAGTACATAAAACCTATGGCTGCCCTTCCTGCCCTCGTCCAGGGAATGCAGGGCCCAGATAAGCTGGGTGAGAGCTGCTGGTCCCTGCATCTTGCCAGCCTGGCCTTGGTGCTCAGCAGGCCTGGGCTCTAGCCACGATCTTGGGAGGCCAGTGCCTGCAGTCTCCAGAGGCCACCACACAGCCCCTTCCTGACAGCATGCTGCTCAGAGTTCTAGAGCACACCAGCATGGCAAGGGGTCACCAAACCTGTGAGCCCTGGAACCTCTCCTGCCTAGGGGTGAACAGTAGGTCCTTTGCTGCTGTGTGGGCCAGGGGATCTCCCTTGCCCACTCAGGCACTGACCAGGAGGCCCTTTAGACTCCCGGTCTAGCCAGGTCCTGCTCTGCAATTCTGGTGCCCAGGTGATAACTTGGGCCTGTGCTCCTCAGGGTGCTGTCCCTAGCCTGCTGTGGTCCCCAAGCCTCCCTGCTCCCAGCCAGCCCAGAGAAGCCCTGATGTCTATCTAGAGTTCCGCTGTTCAGAGRAGGAGGGATGTTCATGGTATCTGACTGGCAACACTCAGCACAAGACCAGGAGCAATCCTGAGTGCATTTTAGATTCAGTACCTGTCTGGAAAGACTTTAAGACTTTTCACTGCACACCTAACTGTGATCCAGAGCAGGCACTGTGGGTTCAGAGCATGAGACTAGGCATGCTCAGCCAGCACCTGTGAGGCCCCTCCATGGGCCTGTGGCTGCAGGCCACATATACACACGTGTTGAGGCCTTGGCCTGGGCACTGACCAGATGACCTGATGCCTAATGGGGCCCACAGTCCCTGTGTCTCCACCCACTGATCTGGGTACCTAGCCCTCTCTCCAGCAACACCCCCACCCCCCAGTATAGGGGTGCAGCTAACCACAGCCCATGACCCAGCAGCCACAAGAGTCTTGAGCCCTGTGCAAGCCAGGKGCCCCTTCAAGCCTGTACAGGCCCAACCCCTGACAGCTGGCACAGAGGTGGGGGTAGACAGGGTAAAAGGCTGCCTGCTGTCAGGCACATGGAAACATGCAACTGCTCATTCTGAGGCAAGGGTTCAGAGCTGACCGCTGGCCTCATGTAAACCAGTGGGCATGGAACAGGTGCCAGGCAGGTGTGGTCCCCAAGTGCACTAGGAAGCCTCCTCACACCCAGGCACTTCTCACTTAGTCCTGAGCGCTTCRACTTGGACCTGAGAAAGGAGAAAGCAGGGGAGGGGTGCCCATTGAGGCTGCACGGTGATGGGCACCTGACCTCAGCCACCACCTTTGTGCATGCTGCTTCCAGAGGGGCATCCTGCAGGAGAGGTTCCATGGGCAGGGAGTGCCCTCCTCGGGAACACCTGGTGTGCTGAGGCCCATGCAAGAGCTGCAGAGCTGGCCACCTCACAAACCACTTTCTGCCACTCATTCCTCTCTTCACACCACAGCCCTGAGTCCTTGTGCTGGTGTGGGGAAACTGGTTAGTGTTGTAGATTCAAMAACGTCAGAGTAGAACACAGAGAAAGGCACCTGCCTGAAAGACACACAGACCCAGAGATCCCCAGCTGCTGCACCGTGACRGTCCTGAGGTTCCAGACAGACACAGCACACACCGCCCTGTGAGTCCCGGGCGTGCACACACAACATGGCTTTAGTTTGCATACTAGGAAATGTTTTTTAAAAATGAAGATAGGGCAATTCTTTATCATTCCCAGCTCATTTCTTTCTTCAGGCCACAGAAAGGCTGGGAAAGGTGCAGTTCACACAGATGAACCTGTGGAAAGTGAAAAGGTGACCGGGCCCATTCCGTAGGCGCAGTGTCCTTACCTGGGGGGGAATGAGATGTCCAGTTCATACAGTCTGTCCTTAAAGACAGACAACTCTTTGTCAAATTCCAAGAGCTAAAGAAAAGACAAAGAAGAGAACAGTCACTTGGGTTTTCTTCACTGACGCCTGGKGGTTAGTGTGCGGCTGGGATGTCTGTGACTTCTAAAACTCACCCGGCTCAAGCCTTCAGAGTGACACCTGCCCTACCCAGGGCAGCCAGGCCACACTGCCAGCAAGACCCACAGGAGTCCTCCACAGTGCTCAGGCTGACTAGCTCTATTGGTCCGAGAGCCTTGCAGGCCACCCTGGCAAGCACTCCCTCCCTGGGCTGGGGCCTGGGCAGTCCTCTCCAGAGCGTGCCACACTTTCTCACAGAAAGGGCACGGCTCCCATCGCACCCAGTGCCTGAGGTAACTTGTAGAGCCAGCAACATCAACTCTGTGTAGAGTGGATTGGAAGAATGGCCCCAAGTGTGCACACCAGAGAGACTCTAGCAGCAGCCTGGAGAGAAATGTTCATTTCTTTTACAAAGGAGGCAACAAAATGCTCTGTTTTCTCAGGATGCTTCAGAGACAAACACTGGGGGGGGGGGGCATCTGTCCCCAAAGGAACAGGTTCCCACCAGTCACATCTCTGGTGGTCACTGTGCTCACCCTCTGGGACACTGTTCATTAATCACRTCCCACCCCACAGCTGTGTGGGACCATGGCATCGTGACGGGGCTCTCTCAGAAACCATACCGTGTCCTCCCTCCTGCCACCTCATCCATCATCTCTGAACGTGCAATTAGCAGCCTCATGTACACAGTGATTACCCGTGTGCCAGGCTGCCGCCTCGCACTGGCGCCAGCCCCCTGCCTGCTTGCTGCAGCATCACCGTCGCAGGTCAGCAGGGTTGGCCTGGCCTCACTGGCAGCCAGAAACAGAAAGAGCCGAGATCCCCATCACACACCAGGCGCTGTCTGCTGCAGGGGGAGCCCCTCATCCCACTTAGCACTGCAGCAGCAGCCACAGGGCTGGGTGAGGATGGGATTCCAAGAGGCTGCTGGCTTTAGCCTGCTGTGGACATGGTGGTCTTGGTCCCTGTGATCATGAGAGGGGCAAATGTGCTTGCTCCACAGCCACCTGCCAACCTGAGAGCAGAGCCACCTTTTCCAAAAGGCCGAGGTGGGAGCCCTTGAAAAGGGCTGGGTCTCAGAAAGGGTCATGGCCAAAGGATATGCCTGGCCAACACACTGGCTGTGGGAGAGGAAAGTACAGGTGGGGCTCTGGGCTCCTCTCTGCCCCTACGTTTACTGCAGAGATTTTCAGGAATGCAGCCAAACTTGTGAGACCCCCAGCCGGCTGGGGCGCGAGTGACGACTCCTTGGACAGGATACTTGAAGAGTGCCATCACTGCACATGCCTGCTCACTTGCCCTGCCTGGTGTCCCTCCATGCCACGGGACTGTCCTGTCCTCTTCCTCTTGCCCTCTCTCAGTCTTGGGGGAAATGCGTGGAGCCGGTTGGCACCACTGAAGGGAGAGCTGGCGGCTGGCGCTGAGCCACAGCGCTGCTCTGGAGCCCCTGCCTGCTGCGTCCAGGAGGCCTGGTGCTTCCTTCAGCTCCTGTGGAGCCCCCCGACACTTAGTGCCTGGCCTCATTCTCACGTGGGAAGTTCTCATGGCTCTGGCTCAGGGTTCACTGTGCTTCCTGAAGGCGCATGACTTGGAAGAGTTCTGGGAAACAGCCGCCTGACGTCCTGCGGGACGAGAACTGGGCCCTCTTCCCGTGTCCTGCTGCTCACCATGCAGCGTCCAGGTCCTAAGTCCTCCCCTCTGCTGTGCCCTCTGCCCTGGGCTCATCCTGGGGGCTGTGGCTTCGTGTCGATGTCCTAGACACTGTTTTCTGGCCTGCTGGTTCTTTTCTTCRTGATGGGCACTTAGGTTTCTGACTCTTTAATGCTTTCAACGATTTCACAGAACTGTGATRGAAGAGGGCACTACCACATGACCCTCGTCTGTCATCTGACTGCTCGGACGTCTCACCGGCCCACCTGGCTGTGGCCGCACCTCCTGACCACAGTGGGGTGTGGTCAGTGGGGTGCTTCCTGGGCTCTGCATTCTGGGACTGTGGGCTCATCTTGGCGGGTTCTGCCTTTGAGATTTTCAACTGTTGTGAATGAGGGTCTACCCTCCAAGAAACTCCGCCCACTGAGAGGACACAGCCAGCAAGGCGCTCTCAGACGCACACTTCAGAGTTTCACCTCTTATGAGGAGTTGTCATGAACTCTTAATTCTCCTTTTTCTTGGGCTTTGAAGGACACCTCTGGAACCTCAGATGCTATACTCCAGAGATCAGTGCAGGCCAGGCAGCCTCCCAGCTCTCTCCCAGTTCTCTGCAAGAAAACCCTGGGGGGAGCCATTCAAGATGTCAGCAAGGGTTGTGGTAGGGGGGTGGAGTGGGCTAGTGGGCAGTCAGTATTCTCCACTGCAGGCCTCTGGGAAGCAGCTGTAGGAGAGAAAGGCTCAGGCCTCATGAGGAGGCTGACAGTGTGCAGACCAAAAGCCACCTCCAAGGAAACCTGCCGCTGCCCCTGTGAGCAAAGCCAGCCCAGCTGGGACCTTCAGGGTCACAGGGTGCTATGGGCCACCTGTTGAGCCTCCTGCAGCATCTCTAGAGATTTGCAGCTGGGGCTTGGCCACACCTGTGTGAGCAGAGATGGCCTTGAGTGAGCCTTTGCTCAATGGTGGGCCCACAGTTCTGCGTAGAGCATCTGGAGAGCTCTCTTCCCAAGAAGGAGCCTTGTTCCATGGAGGTGGTGTGGCATGATATCCCCTCCCAGCTCTGGCTCCTCTGGCCTATCTGTGTCCCTAGAATCCCTGGCACACTGGTCTGCAGTGCCAGCCAGGGACCTGTCTGGTCCACAGAGGAGATGGCATGGAGTCCAGCCCTCAGGGGCGTTGGGCCTGGGCTGCCTTCACTCTGTGTTAGAGACCACCCTGAGAAGCAACAGGTACGCACGGACCAGGAACACACAGAGGAGTGCAMAGAGGTGGAGCTTGGGCCAGCACAAGCTCAGGCGGCTCTGAAGAAAAAGTGATGTTTCTCTGCAAGGTGATGCTGCTGCTCAGGGGTGGGGCGTCCCTGCCTCCAGCAGCCAGGGTCCACAGGGTGGGGTCTCTGAGCAGGTACTACAGCTCCAGCATTTGGGTCTCCTGTGGGCATGTTGTTGATACAGGACGGCACGTTAAGGGACATGTGAGGAAGGGTCTGAGCAGGGCCAGGAAGATCAGGACCCCAAACCTCCAACTCAGGAGAAGCACACCCTGACTCAACACAGCAGGCAGGCCTCATGACAAGGCGGCACTCGGCGGCCCAGCCCCAACTGCAGACACATCTCAGCTTTCATCCGCACCTGCCCACGAAACACAGGAGGAAGACACTGGGGCAGGGCTAGGGGAGTGCCCACCCAGCCCTAGCYACCCACCCAGCACTCCAGCATCAGCCCGGCCCAGCTCCCCAAAGTCACGCCTTACAACATGTTGGCTCAGGGTTCTGTCAACATCAACAGACATGCATCTATACACATGTGCAACACACAAGGACACACAYGAGCACACACACAAGGATACACATGAGCAAAACACGTGTCATGTATATATGCACATGTGCATACACATACTCGTGCACACGTGGCACAGACACACATGCAGATAGTCATACACACATGCACACATATACACATTTGTTTTGCTTCTAAATATCTGATTAGGCTAAGGAAGTACAAGCTAGACTGACTACATTCACCATCTTTGCTCTGCATTCTGCATCAGACCACCATATGTAGACAAGGTCACGGTTTGGAGGTCCTCATAACCAGCTCTGGGGTCACGTGCAAGGGTGAAGTGACTTCACATCAATGTTCACATGGGCACATGTGTACCTGAACCTATGGGGGGTAGCTTTCACTGTCACCCACCCAAGGCTCCCCAGCATGAGACTACAGAGCTGTGTAGACTCCCTGTGGGCTCCTGTGGGCCAGGGCCTGCTCCTGGAGTGGCAGAGCCTCTTTCTGGCCTCTGCCTGGGGACACCCATGTGGGCATCACCTGCATGCCCTACACAGCTGCACCGGAACATGCACATGAAGAACGGCTACTAATGCAGACATCCTCACACGCTCCAGTGTGCACAGCCTCACGGTCAGGGCGAGTCGGGGGGCAGGAAGGAGGGGCTCAGACTGCCTGGGGCACCAGCCATGGGGGGAGCAGACAGTCCAGCTTGTCCTGTCTGGACTTCGTGGGATTCGCCAGTGGCCGCTCTGCCTGGAGTGGTGGCCCTAAGTATTACCCAGCACACTGAGGCCACTGTTCTACCATGTTTCCTGTTTTAAGGAAAACAATTCTTGAGGGTGTAAAAAGAAAAGCAGACAAACATGGTTTGGAATGAATCTGGATCTTTAGCTACTTAGATGGTATGAGACCCCAGGAGGGGGGGGGGGTGGAACCCTTTCCTCTGCCCTGCAGGCTGACATGCCCACTCTGCCACCTGCATTGTCCTCATGCTGAAAGAAAACCTGGGGGAGATACCACCCCTAAGTCACCCAGATGGACTCACAGCCTTCTCTTGACACAGACATGTCCTGAATTTGTACAACTGTGGCCTCTGAGTGCCTGCTGGCCATGAGCAAACCAGACATGACCTCTGGCTTCCTGGACCTTTATATCTAGTGGTGACAGCCATACAGACCAGTGCATAACTGCACTGTGTGGAGGGTGGGTGCAGGTGGGCCCAGTGTCCCCACCTGGGTCCCCACTGGGGTCCCTGCTTGACCAGTATGGAGACAGCCCAAGGTTCTGGGCCCACACACCCACATGGGATGAGGTGGACTAAAGCTACAGCTGCCACCGGCATAAAGCATCAGGTGCCAGCCGTTTCTGACGGGAAATTACCCTGCACTCCTGCTGAACTGATGACTTGTATCTCTTTGAGATTTTTCACAAACATGATAACCAATTTCACGTGTACCGTAAACACTCTTCTTGATTAGGACGTGAAAGCAGCACCCGCRTGTGGACAGTGACAAAGCGGCTGCTAGCCCCACGTATCTGTCAGGAGCCGCCCAGCTGCACGGATTCCACCGTTGCCGCAGAGACACTGTGCTGATAAAGAAAAAAGAGCCCGGAAAATCAATGCCCTCGGAGCGCAGCGGCTGCTAAACACACAGAAAACATCTCCATCCAACAGGCCAAGTGCTTCGGAAATTCCCAAGCCCTGCCCTGGGACAGCCAAGGAAAATTTAATCTCTCCAAATCCTCACCAGGGCACTCCATCCTGCGGCCCTGACAGCCACACTTATAATTAATTATACAATTTCGATGGGAATATCGACTAAACAAAGCTATAAATCATAGAAAAAGTCAATAGGCATGGACACATTCAATCATGTCCCGGCCAATGATTACTACTCTTAAAATACAATAATTATTTTCAGGAGCCAGCTTGAATTAAATTTCTGTCAGATGGGTACAAGACCCGTGGTTGATGAAGGATGCGATGGATTTTGGGGCTGCGTCCGGCGCAGGCACATCCATCCTGCGGACGTAGTTTGTTTTTAGTGCTCGCAGCGCGGCGTGTTTAGCCAGACCATGAAGATGAGATGATCTCCAACGCTTGTTAGGCGGTTTATCTTGTCCCCTCCAGGGCTGCGGGCACGACTCTCCAGATGCTGGGCGTGACTGGCGGTGGGTGATTCCTCTGAGCACTGTGGAACTTGGGCAAGAGCCTGGGCACCAGTGTTAGCCAGATCTGCGAGACACTTCTGAAGGCCGCSTGTTGGTCTGAACAGGAGGATGGGCGAGGCGCACCCCAGGTCCCGTTCATGCCTGGCTCTTTGAAAACGACACAGCCCTGCCTGGGCAGGCACAGGGCTTGGGGCTCCAGGGGCCTGCATGACCAGCCTCGCTCACTGCAGACAGGTACACAGGCCTCCGGGATCCCGGGCTCCACTTCAACTCAGTGGCATTTTCTTCTATTAGAATCAATTCAAAAGTTCTCCTGAAACTTCAAACTACTTGCTCTTCTTAAAAACAAAGTCATACAGTAAACGTGAACTTCATTTACGGTAGAATGTCCATCTTCATGACTGCTCTAAACGCCCTCGGCACTGTGCCGACACTCCCTTCTGCTTCCAGAAGGCGCACACCTCCATTCACAGCACACCCAAAGCCAGGCGGTGCTTCTCTCTTGGCTGGTGCAGCCTCCTCACCAGGGTCCTTGCTCCCTCTGCAATGTTCTGGCCCTGCAGACACCCACACCCCCTGAGGGCTCCTCTACTCATTTCTTGCCCTGCACAGGGCCCTCGGTGATCTTACTCCCCTGACTCTGAGGGGCCTGCTCCGCGGGAGGCCCACAGTACTCCATCTGGCCTTCTCCAAGCTGAGATGGACATGCAGCCCCCACATCTCCTTGGGCATTCAATCTCCACACAGGCTCACCCCTTGCCTCTACTGAAGTGAGCTGGGATGCCACCCTGCTCAGGTGGACTGGATGACAGCCACTGCCCTAGCAGAGCTGCCCCTCTGGGGGAAACTGCACTGAGCTCTAGGTCTGCAGAAGGGCACCTACAGCACTGGGGAGAGTCAACCTCATAGGTGCCAGCGGCCCAGGGAGGAGGGTGCAGGAAAGTGCTCTGTCAGAGGCTGCTGGCAGAGCGGACAGTGGGGAGAAAGCCCAGGGACTCCTCCTGCAGCCAAGCAGAAGTCAGGCCAGTGACACCAGCATTCTGGCTTCTGAGGCCAACAGGCTTGCTTACACAAAGGATGCAAAGTCCCGATGTGACCAACCAACAGCAGTGGGGGCATGAGCGGGCAGATCCTCTAGCAGGAGAGAGGTGGCAAGCCAGGAGGAGGACCGGTAGCACTGAGCAGCGGGACAGTTGTGGACGGGGCTGGGTGCGTGGCCAGTGCTAGATGTTACCTCCCAAGCAATGAGGCAGGAGAGGGGCCGGGGGCTGAGCGGGCAAGGCAAAGGACGCAGTCCTGGTTCACTCATTTTTGTGTTTCGTCTTCAGTGCTGGGGTTGACACAGGGTCTTGCTAAATTGCTCAGGGCCTTTCTAGGTTGTTGAAGCTAGCCTTGAACTTGTGATCCTCCTGCCTGCACCTCTTGAGTTGCTGAGGTAATAGGTGTGTGCCACCACACGCAGCAGGACAATTGGTTTTGAACCATTCCAGGGACATGGGGTGGGTGGAATCTGCTGGACCTATGGACAGCTCCCTTTATAGGGTATGCAGATGTGCCCTGGTCTCCTGTAAGCACTCTGTACACACTGACCTGTGAATACTCCCACACTTCATGAGAGGTACACAGAGACAGAGAGCTGGTCCAGGACAAATCCATGAGTGTGAACAGCTCACAGCGCCCAATCTGCAAGGCCACGGTCTGCCCTGGGCCTGCCCACTCACTTCCACCTCCTCTCACTAATTTGCCAMCACTGGCAGCTGCCTGAAAGCAGAAACCCCCTCCCACTGCGGCCCCACAAGGGCCACAGAGGCTCCTCYGCCTTCCAGGACCGAGTCTTCACGTTTCAGGAATCTCAGGAGCTGCTGCTAGATGTGGCTGTTACTCTGCAGCCTGAACTCGCCCACAGAGGAAGTCTACGCCACAGAAACTGGCAAATGCACAAGTGCAGCCCTCGCCCAGCACTGTCCCCCATTTACCAGAACACAACTACRAGCACACAACAGGCATCCAGCAGGCACTGTACAGCCAATACATTAAAAAGAGGACAAAACTGTTCCATGATGGAAAGTGACAAGAGGTAGATGTAGGCACCTCTCAGCGCCAGCTGTGCAGAGCTCTTGGAGGGAGGGCCAGGGCTTGGGACTGAGGGCAGACTCTTGCAGCCAGTGTCTCTGCCAGGAACCCCCTCTTCACTGACCAAGCTGAAAGTTCCCAGTATCACAGACATCCACTTACACACGTGGTCATGCACACACATGCACACACCTACTCGCACACACACATGCTCACACATTCACGTGCACATCCATATATGCATACACACCCATCACTACGTGCAGGAAGTGCTGAGTCCACCAAGACACCCAGGACCTTGCCTCTTTCCTGGAGGGGTCTCAAGTGATGGGCTGAGCGAGCTTCATGCTGCCCGTGAACATGCACAAGGCCTAGGAGCCCAGCCTAGCCCAGGTGCTGCATGCACCTACAGGCCGTCCCCAGCCAGGATGGCCTGAACCCTTGGGAAGCTGAGGCCTAGGTGGTTCTGTGTAAGCAGCAGCCCTGGTGGGGYCCCACCAAGGACGCAGAAGTCACACGAGAGGAGTCCAGGGTCGGGAAACAGCTCACCGCAGTGCCATTGTCATCCCGGAAGACCTCCTGGTTGAAGTAGTCGAAAAGCTTCTTCTCTAGCTGCAGCACCACCTGCCAGGACAGAGCGGCCTTAGCACTCAGGGTGCCTGCAGAGGCTCCTCGCCAGGCAGGCCTGGCCGGGGGGACACTCACCTTCCGGTCATTGTCTGACTCCCGGAATATCAGCTTCACAACCTCATTGGTGTCAGCGGCCCGGACAGTCTGCATGGTGGCCTTGGTGCATAGGGTCTGCAGAAAGACACCAGGGGACTCAGGTCACAATCAGGGTTCCCTGGCCACTTTCCTTGCGCCTGCTCTGATAACCTCCTTAGTTGCTCCTCACTCAGAGGGTGCGGGGTGGCTGTGGCTGCGGCTGCAGCTCTGCACATAAGGCAGGGTCTAGGCAGGCGAGTGCAGGCCATCCAACTGGCTAACAATTAAATTCAAGCCTTTCCAGAAAGTTCTTATCTTAAACTCAGGAAGACCATGGAGGTCATTCTCCCACTCCTCGAACGCAAGACAAAGCTGGAGACCCCAGGCAGAGGAGCACTAGCCCGGCAGAGCCCCTGCCCACACCACAAGGGCCAACCAGGACCACTTGAAGGGATGTGCAGGACCTGGGAGGGCCAGCATTGCAAGATGTCTGAGAGGAGTGAGGCCCCACACCCCTGGTCATGGGGATAGGGCAAGAGGGCACTCTCACAAAATGCTAGAGCTAGTAAATCAGGCAGCACAGGGCAGCACTGCCTGGGGCTGGCGAGGGTGTGTGGAATAGCAGTCTGTCCTGGGTTGGAGTTTGCATGTAAATTACACCTCACAAGCCTTCTTTTAAAAGAGAGAATACAGAATTTTTACTTTAAGGAAAGACCACTGTGAAAGTCCACCCCTGCAGGACGACCAGCCTCCTACCCAGGCAGGCGCCCTGCAGCGGTGACAGGCACCTGCAGGTGTGGAGGGATGTGCACAACCTGGGTCACCACTCCCAAAGCACACTCCGGGGCAGGCCATTGGTATTCAGGGCACAGATCAGCTATGTGGGCCAAGCCCCAGCCAGAGTGGCTTTTGGACTCCTGTGTCACAAATCAGTCTGGCTGCCCCTGAAGAGGGAGGATTAGGACTAGCACCCAAACAACCCAGGCAGTTTGGCCACCCTGCTAGCCCTGTGTCCTATGGAGGTCCTGGCCCCATCCAGATGCTAATGCGCTTAAGTGGCTTAAGCCCCTGCGTGAATGGGGAAGGCTCTGGGCTGCAGACTGCCATTGTGGCCAGGCAGGACCCGGTCCAGGAAATTCATGGCTCTGTCTCCTGAAGGCATCTGCTAGAAACTGTTTAAAAAACTGCTTTATCCTACCACTTCAGGCAGCTCCCAAAGGCCAGACATCTAATGGTCCCCTGGCCATGCAGAGGGCTGGCGCCCCCACCCCTTTCTCCAGCACCCTCTCCCGTGGAGCCACCTCATTCACAGGTTTAAAGAAATGATCAGGGGCTGGGCCTTCCCCTTTGCCTTTCAACCCAGAGTCGTGACCACTCATGCAGAACACGCCTGGRCGGCCTTTCCGGCTCAACTACTACAGAAGGGATTTTGCTCTTTTGAAAGGACGAAAAAATGCCCCCAAATGCTATTTTTTAAAGGCCGTCTAAGATTCACTGAGTCATTCTCAGCTGCCTAAAAGGGCCCGGAAGAGCCTGCACAGAGCCTCGCTGGCACTTGAAGGACAGTTTCCCCAGAATTTCCTGGAATGCTACGCACCCAGGTGCCCACCTCTCTGTAGGCCGTGAGATCCTTGGTTTCTTCTTGTTTGCACAACCATCAAAGGATGCTTCCTGCACCCAGGTCTTCAGGCCAGGGCCCTAATGACAGTGGGAGAAGGCTGCCTTCTCTGCAGGCGTCGCACGCCTACAGCCCATCTGACATGCACAAAGTGTCCCAGAGGTCAGATGCCCTGCGCACGTGTGCAGTGGCCCAGCTTGACTCTTCCCAGGAGCTAAATCTGGGAATGTCCCCACGAGTGTTGTCAGAAATGCTGCCCCAAGAAGTCCAAAATCTAGGAAAGGTAGGCGCTGTGGAGCCCAGCTGCCCACACCTCTGAACCAATATGAAAGAGCCCTCTAGAAGACCTGAGTCAGACTGTGCCCTCTGGCAGACACAGTGAGTACCACAACACACGGGTTCACCTGGGGTGGCTGTGAGCCAGGGACACAGCCTGCAACCCAGAACAAGATCCCAGACTCCACTCACGAGCCGAGGACACCTCCTCGCCAGGGGAGGCATGGGTGTCCAAGGAGCTGGAGCTTCTCAGGAGCAGGGCTGCCCAGGGATCTGCCAGGTGCCCAGTTAACACGTCCTTCCTGGCCTTACAGAGTCTGACTTGGGGAGCTCAGGACACGATGCACCTTTCAGGAAGCATGTTCCTAAGGCCCATGGGATAATTTCTGGTCTATGGTGGTTAGAGCCTACCAAGCATCCAGGTGTGGGGGCACTTGCCTATAATCCCAGCAACTCGAGAAGTTGAGGGAGGAGGATGACAAGTTCAAGGCCAGCCTCAGCAACTTAGCAAGACTCCGCTCAACAGAAAAAAAAAAAAAAAACCAGATGAAGAAGAAAGAAAGAAAAGAAAAAAAGGGGACTAGGGGTTGTGGCTCAGTAGTTAAGTGCCCCTAGGTTAAATCACCAGTGCCAAAAATAAACAAAACCAAAAAAGGCACAACAAGCAAAACTACACAAAAATAGATTTTAGATTTTAAGATTTCAACCATAAATGGAAACCAGGTCAGGCAGCTCAGAGTGAAGTCACAGGACCACCGCTCTACAGCCATTCTTCACCTGTGAGCTGCTCGTTGTGGACCAGAGTTATGACTGTTTCCTGGGCACCTGTGTGACCCCCTCCAGGGTCAGGGGCCATTTCAGGAAGCATCTCAGCCTGCATCACCAGCGGCTGGTGAGATGTGGCCTCCCCTTCCACTCTGACCTCACGGGGCAGGCTCCCTCTCTCCCTGTCACTGCTTGCCAAGCAGCCCCATCAGCAGGGGCTGGAGGGAACAGGGCTCACTGATGAGCCATCCCCTGACATCCACCAAAAGGCCGGTGCCCAGGACCAGGCAGACAGGGACTCCCAAGTGACACCACTGATCAGCATGCCTTTTGGGTTTCCAGTACTAGAGCTGGGGTGGGCACGGCTGCCCTCAGCATCCAGCCACCACCTGTGCATGCTGCGCATGCCTCCTCTCCATGCCCAGTGCCAGGTCCTGTGGGCAGCCAGGCGGACAGTCTTGTACTGGAGTTAGTGGCGTATCTGAGTGGGGAGCTGGTGAGCCCTGCTGGAGGAAGAGCAGCATGGGTCAGACCAGAGCAGGTAGGGGCACCAGGACCAGGCAGTGGTCTGGGCACTGGGAGAGAGGYTGTGGGGGACTCTGGAGAGGCGGCCGGGACTAGGAGGGCCAGCAGTGAAGAGTAAGGAGATAAGGGAGGCCACCTAACSGCAGCAGGGACAAGGAAGCAGGGAGCAGCAGAAGACTGGTCTGGACTGAGGCAGGAACTATGGAGTGGGCCATGGAGAAGTGGATGTGGGTCCCACCCCTGGGGGACTCGGGCGGACACAGGGTGCACCAGCACAGCCAGTGGCCTTTGCTCCTCAGAGGCAAGAGAGCTCAGGTGTACCCACTTGGGAGAGCRCAGGCCACGTGTGCTCAGAGGTGTGCTTTGCATTAAGACCTGCTCGAAGGGACAGGAGGGCTGCCTCTCTGCTGCTGTCAGTGCCAGCACCTTCTTGGAGGGAGGCAGCTGAGGAGCTCCACTGCCCAGATCAAAAGCCGGCAGGCCACAGGTGCTGCTGCTGCAGACCTCCTGGCAGTGGCCCATGCACAGGCCGCCCGGAGCCGCCTGGAGCAGCCTGGGAAGGGCAGCATAGAAGGACCCGACTCCTTGAGTTGGCTTCTTCCAGCTACTGGCTCTGGCACAGCCTGTTCCAAAACCTGTACCAAGGGAGCACAGGCAGGCTGGTAGGGAGGGCTCCTGGACACGTGGTCTGGACCTGGAGGCCACCGCACACAGCACTGTCTGGCTCAGGACAACACTTGGGGAGGGGTTGACAGTGCCATTGTTGGGTGGCCTGTCATTCACCAGTGGCAGCACAAAGAGGTGGGGGCAAGTTCCATCCTGACTTCAGTGGGCAGATGAAACCTAGCAGCCAGCTGTCGAGAGGCTGTTCAAGGCGCAAGAGACCCTGGCCCCACAAAGGGCCGGATGCTGCCTCCTCTTGCTTCCCTCCCCGTGGGTCCACGGCTAACAGTCAAAAGACCCCAACGCAAACTGGGACCCCGAAGGAACTGTGCTGTGACGCCCACGCCTGCCCAGCACTCCAGGAGGACACCCACAGGGAAGCACACGCCAAGCCCACTGCCCACAGCCCAGGGTGTGAGGGACTCTGGCTCTCCCTTGTGGGCCCTGGCTGACAGTGGTGCTCCCCTAGGTTTCCCGGGAGGAGCTGCAGCAGGTACCAGGGCTACGGGTTCTGACACATCTGCAGAGCAGCCACAAGTGAGTCGGCAAGTTAAAGGTCAACCTTAAACTTGAGAACAACAAAACAATCCCCTCCCTTGAGAAGGCAGCTCTGTGCAGGCCACGAGGACAGACAGCTGCAAACGCTCGCTGCCGAGCTCCTTATAGAGAAGTCTGCCACAATGCTAAGGGCAGAACTGGGAACCCACTCGGCCATGGCCTGTGTCCCTGTGTGAAGGCCACTCAAACCAGGCAGCTCCAATGGGCCCCAGCACATGGGGGCACCCATCTGATGCAGCCCTGGGGCCAAACTTGGAGGGCATCTTTGATAACCGAGGCTCTGTGGGCCTGTCAGGTTGGAGATCCAGAGGCCACTCCCAGGGAGCACTTCAGGCTGCAGTGACCGTGGATCACTGCCCACTTCCCCTGGTAGCAAGGGCAGAGAAGGCCCTTGAAGGCAAGTTTGAACCAGCACACTGCCTGCTGGCACCCTGCAGCCTTCAAGGGGCACCCGTGGGGTGTTGAAGGAAGGAGGAAGGCAAAGGATGGACCAGGAGGGGCAGAGCCCAGGCTGTGCTCCCTCCCACTGGAGACAAGGAGCAGCGGGCCTAAAGATCCACTTCACCAATTTTTCATGCCCATCCCTCTCAACGTGACCCTGCTCCTGAGCTTTTATCCCTCTGACAAGTTCACAAGGCAAACAACCAGACCCTCTGATAGCATGAAATTGGGACAAAGGCCCAGGGACAAA